ACAAGTGATGATCCTTTCAGATTTCATGAACATGCTTCAGAAAATTGCAACAGGCTGCCTACACTTTGAATGGGTTAGGAGGTCAAACTTAAACTCTCTCACCTGAATCTGCACACCTAGGCATGCAGGAGTAAGGGTTAACAAATCCGCAGACCAAGTAATGCATAGATGCAGTTTCAAATTAAGTGGCAGACCTTTTGATATAAACAGCACTTTCATATATACACTTCAACAGTTGAAAGTAGTGGAGAATAATTGATGTATTTTATAGTGACTTGAAAAATGCTTTTCAAAAGTGCAGAGACTCAGCAGAAGTATTATAATGGGCGACAATAATGCTAAAATTGGAAACCAGCAGGGTGGTTACACAGTTGGCAAATATGGATTACAACAGCAAAATGAAAGAGTGGACAGGCTAGTAGAATGGGCAAAGGATTGTGGGAAACATCTGGTATCAACAACATCTGAGAAGATTGTGGACAGTAAGGCCAGGAATCAGACTGATTATATCCTCATCAATCAAGATTTCAAAATGCTTTAAAAGTTGCACAAACTGTACCAGGAGCAGACTAATAAAGTGATCACAGATTGGATATAGGTAAAGTACGTATACAGTATGAGAATACATTAAAGAATGAGAAAATTAAAAACAATTAAAATATAGAAATACACAACAGATTTGATACATTGTCTGATTTAGAATGATTAATGAGAAATATTGAAGAATTCAATCAGTCAAGCTGCAGTAGCATTCATCCTGCAGTGGAAGTTGATAGACCATAGAAAATGAATGACTGAAAACATTTTGACATTTATGGAAGAAAGAAGAAGCAACATAATATAGCATGCAAAACATGAAGAGATTCACAGAAAAATTAGAAGACTTTGAAGCAAAAGAAGCATGAGTGGAGAAAAACTGCAGGGAAACTGAAACACAACACCTTGAATAGCAAACTAATGCACGAAAGAATTAATGACCTCACAAATAAAAGATCACCCCCATCAGTATATTGCCTGAAAGCCAAAGAAGGTAACACTGTAATGGCCAGAGACAAGATATTAGACGCATGGTCAGATGATATAAAAGATCTTTACAGCGATTCTCATGAAGAACATTTTGATATTCTTAATAACAATGAAAGACCACCAATTCTAAAGATGGAATTTTCGGAATACCCTTAACCATTTGAAAAGTGGAAAGACTTCAAGTTCAGACAACATCACATGCGAAATGATCAATGCTTTAGAAGAAAGTGGAACAGACCAGGTCACCAGGCTACTGAGCACAATATATGACACCTGAGATATTCCAGACGACTTGTGTAATTCTAAGCTTACTGAAATACCAAAGAAACCAGGGGCCTTAGAATGTGATCAGCATCAAACAATTAGTATAATAAATCACATCCCAAAGATTTTGCTAAGAATTATTATGCAAAGAATAAGGAAGAAAATACAACCAGAAATAGGTCAAGAAAAAAATGGGTTTGTAAAAGGCAAGAGTGCAGCAAATGCTGTGTATCTCCTGAGAACAATAATAGAACATTAAGTAGAAGTAAATAAAGATCTTCATAGCTGTTTTTTTTTTTTTTTTTCACACAAAAACGTTTGACAGAGTAAGACACATGAATATGACACCACAAACTGTGGGGACAGATCTTTGATTAAGAAGATATACTGGAAACAACATGCCGCTATTACTTATTAAGACGTGGGTCTGTACCGACCAATCAAGAGAGATGTGCGACATGGACATGTAATGTCTCCATATCCCCCCCCCCCCCCCCCCCCCAAACTTGTATAGTGAAAATATTGTGCAACAACAGAAAGATATGAAGGGGATTAATATGAAAGGATTCCCTGTGTGGGTTACGGGACCCTATTATAGAAAAATCAAGAACAGACCCACTGCCTACCCAAAAGCATGTCCTAAGAGTCGAATAACTGGGAGCTTCTTTTGAAGTCGGAGTGTATCTGCCTGAGAGGCAAGGAACCAGCAGTCTGCATACAAATGTGTCAGATCTGTAAAATGAATGCACATGCAACACTCAGATTCTGAAACAGGACTGCAGTCCAGAAGTGGATGAACAACCAGAACTTTCCACCAGAGTCTACAGCTGGTGAACGTGAAAAGAAGAAGAAGAACATCAACAATATAAGATATGCAGATGATATGGTGTTAATTGCAGACTATGAAGAAGATTAGCGTTTAGTGGATGCAGTAAGGGTTCACAGTGAGAAACTAGGCTTGCAATTAAACTGTTAAAAAACATGAAAATTATGGTCAGTAACAAGAAGAAAGAAGTACCAAAGTGGGAAATATATGCAAATGGTAACATTCTTAAGCAAGTCAATAGATACAACTAACTTGGAACAGTCATAACATCTGCTGCATGATGCCTTGCAGAAATCAGAACAAGAATCGTCATGGCAAAAGTAACCTTTAGCAAAATGCAAAAGATTCTTTGCAATAAGAAGATTTCAACCGCAGTGACAAAATGAGTGTTGAAGTGCTATGTAGCACCTAGGATGTTATATGCATGAGAAATCAGGACAATAAGCTAAAAAGCTGAAAATACATTTACTTGGGGCAAACGTGTTTTCTGAGAAGTAAACAAAAATTATCATGGAAAGATAGAAAACAAACGAAGTAGTCTTCAGTGAGACAGATGAAAGTCGTAAAGTTATTTAACTAGATTGATTGATTGATTGATTTGATTCAAGAACCAACATCACAGCACTCGGTGCATTCCCATAAGCGCTCCGTCCCCATCTTCAGCAGCCAGCGAAGAGTTCCGATACTAATGGTGCCAGTAGCTTTCTGATTAAACGTCCGTCTTGCCTTTTCTCTGAGCCTCGAGCATCTGCCAGAACCTCTCACCACTCCCAACTGCATCAATCTCACCAGACTGTGGTGATTCATCTACTTCTCCGAATTGTACATGCTCTCCCACAAAGCACTAACCACGTCTGCCCTATCATGTAGCAGTATTCCACCAAGTTGTGCAGAGTCAGCCAGTCTGTCCCTCTGTTCATTTCCCAACACACCGGCGTAACCCAGTGAAAAAATCCAGACTAGATATTCAACTAGATGTGGACAGTCAGTGTTTTTTTTGGACATTTTATGAGAAGGAATGGACTTAAGAACTTGGTAACAAGTGACAAGATTTATAGAAAGAGAGCAAGAGGAAGGAGAAGCAATAAATACCTGGATGGCTTGACCATATGGATGGGGTGAGACAAAAACACTGAACTGATCTTTAATTTTGGTGATCGTGTGAGATGGCCAAACATGACAGCCTACGCTTACCAGCAGGACACATGATGATGATGAGGACATAACTTTCACTTTATTTATATGACACTGAATTAACAACAGTTGCTATGTTGTTAGCGCATGCCTTCAGCCAATGATGACTGAAGCTTGTGTCCTATGAGATGGCCATTATCCTGCTCAAAAGATCCAATACAACTGTGCATGGGCATGTTAAACTGAAACAATATCATACACCACCTCTACGTTAATTAATCAATCATATCAACCTTTACAAAATGTCTCACTCTTCACTGTACACCTGAAAGTCTTTTCCAGTCCTGTGTGCCTTCACAACAATGCATCACCTGTATTCTGTATCCATATTCGCAAAGGCCAGCCTCTTCTGCCTTGTTTTCCGGAAACTGCGCCTTCCATCACTGTTCTCTCCAGACCATCATCACTGTTCTCTCCAGACCACCATCACTGTTCTCTCCAGACCATCATCACTGTTCTCTCCAGACCATCATCACTGTTCTCTCCAGACCATCATCATTGTTCTCTCCAGACCATCATCACTGTTCTCTCCAGACCATTATCACTGTTCTCTCCAGACCATCATCACTGTTCTCTTCAGACCATCATCACTGTTCTCTCCAGACCATCATCACTGTTCTCTCCAGACCACCATCACTGTTCTCTCCAGACCATCATCACTGTTCTCTCCAGACCATCATCACTGTTCTCTCCAGACCATCATCACTGTTCTCTCCAGACCATCATCACTGTTCTCTCCAGACCATCATCACTGTTCTCTCCAGACCATCATCACTGTTCTCTCCAGACCACCATCACTGTTCTCTCCAGACCATCATCACTGTTCTCTCCAGACCATCATCACTGTTCTCTCCAGACCATCATCACTGTTCTCTCCAGACCACCATCACTGTCTCTCCAGACCATCATCACTGTTCTCTCCAGACCATCATCACTGTTCTCTCCAGACCATCATCACTGTTCTCTCCAGACCATCATCACTGTTCTCTCCAGACCATTATCACTGTTCTCTCCAGACCATCATCACTGTTCTCTTCAGACCATCATCACTGTTCTCTCCAGACCATCATCACTGTTCTCTCCAGACCATCATCACTGTTCTCTCCAGACCATCATCACTGTTCTCTCCAGACCATCATCACTGTTCTCTCCAGACCACCATCACTGTTCTCTCCAGACCATCATCACTGTTCTCTCCAGACCATCATCACTGTTCTCTCCAGACCATCATCACTGTTCTCTCCAGACCATCATCACTGTTCTCTCCAGACCATCATCACTGTTCTCTCCAGACCATCATCACTGTTCTCTCCAGACCATCATCACTGTTCTCTCCAGACCATCTTGACATGACCAAAATATTTCAGCTTGTGGAAGAGCATGCTGTTAGAAGCCAGTTCTCCTTGATGTTCAGGTCATGCAGGAAGAATGTTTTTCCTCTTCTTGGGCTATGGTATTCCATGAATCTTTCTGTAGCATTTCAGTTCAAAGGCTCCAGTCAACTTCTTCAAAAACGCCTACTATTCAAGCACTTATGGGAATGCCCTGAGTGCTGTGGTGTGGGTTCTTGAATCAAATCAAAACAAATCAAATCAAATCACCCCCCCCCCCTTTCCCCCCCCCCCCCAACCCTCGCCAAAGCTTACAAACAATTTATTTGTTTTTAAAGGATAGTGTTAAAATCACCAACCTTTAATGGCTTCTTGAAATGTGCACTTTGTTTTCCCTGCAACTGTCTGAGAGTGTCTTGGACCAGATTTTGTCTTGTGATGATCAGAATAAAACATGGGCTCACTGGATCATGAGGCTGCTGTTGTGTTGCAAGCCCGGAGAAGAAGCTCCAAACATTCTGGCGCTGGGCACTGTCGACTGCGTACTAGTGGGATTTGTAAAGTTACAATTCTATGATTATTTCCCTGACTGACAACACATTTATTTTCAACTTTTATTAAATTTATTCAGTCTGCAAATCTGTTTTTAACTCCTTTCCACTTACAGACAAATCAGTTAGGCATCACCTCGACAATGAAGGTGTAATTTTTAACACTATGTATTGTTACAAGTTGGTCCAATTCCACTAGCGCCCCCTTTTTCCATTAAAATATAACTGTATCACAGAACTTTTTATTGTTTTATTAGTAGTACTAGAATTATAAAAGATAAGCACTGTGAAACAAACAAGAGTTTACCTGCAGAAATCTTCGGGGCACGCTTTAACTTTGTGTGTGTGTGTGGCTTTTTTTTTGGGGGGGGGGGGGGGCGATAGTGCAACAAAGCCTTGCATATGATATCACAACGTCTAGTCTGAGAATGAAGTTGGAGGCAGTCCCTGCTGGCTTGAGAATCAGCTGTACACACATGCCGTGATTGTAACTGATTCGCATAGCATGTTCCAAAAGGTGGAGACAGGCATGCTCCCTGCAGAATGGCAAGTATCACTTCAGAGATCCCAGGTAGTTAGCGTCTTTTGAATATTTACTCTAGGTCACGCTGATGTGTTGGGAAATGAGCAGGCAGATAGACTGGCCAGCTCTGCAGCACTTGGTGGGGAACTAATGTGTGAGGAGCTGGATATTGTGAGGGTCCTTTGGGAGCAGGTGAACAGTGTGGAGGCACAGATAGACCATTACGGTCAGAGGAGAATGGCGCTGCAAGGAGATTTGGCAGATGCTCAACACTCAGGGGAAGGGCGATACATATTTACAATCAGACAGTTACTGGTGCCATCAGAACTGAAAATTCTTCGTTTGCTGCTGAAGATGTGGACAAAGCGCTTATGGGGATGTCCTGAGTGCTGTGATGTTGATTCATAATTCAACATTCCACATTTGGGGGGGGGGGGGGGGGGGGGGGGGGGGGGGGGGGGGGGCGAGACTGGCTAGAGTTCGACAAGTAATTTTTTTTTAAATCTCAAACTATCAGCAAGCAATTATTAGCTATTCATTAGCTGTTATTAGTGTTCGTTTACTTCACATTATTATGATTTTACATTATAAATCCCTACTAGTGGTAATTAAGTTAATTATTACCATTCTTATATCTCTTCAATTTACTCTCCTTTCATCCCATCTCATTCTCTCCTGGAATTTAACCCATTGTTTTCATGTATACAATATTTTTTCTATTTACTTATATCACAAGGGCCTGAATTTGACTTTCTAATTGCTTGTTCATATTTTCCTCACCATTTATCTCCCAATGGAGCACAGGGCCTCAACCAACAGGCACAAAGCCTTTCTATTTTTCTATGAAAGCCTGCAAGCCACATTTTTGACCCTCTGAAAATAAAGTCTTTTTGGTTTCTTTAGTTTATTTTGTTGGCTTATGGTGATGTGGTTTACAGCTTTTTCTTCTTCTTCTTCATCTTCTTTTGTCATCTTACTGATACCAGGTTGTAGCCCAGTGTCCTGGTTTTCTGTCTCCACAAGATCTGTTCTGTATGTATTCAATATTTCTTGGGTAGCAGCAATCAGTTACACTACTGCCAGCTTGCTAGGCCCGTTGCACGGCGGGGCAGGAAAAATCTGATCTAGCTGGTGCCCGTCTCCTTTCAGGCGAGCCATTGCCTCATTAGCCTGAAACCGAGTGGCTTCAGTGTCCAGTGTGCACCACGAGGAGGTGTGGTTGACCTGAGTACACCCTTACAGCTGCACTGTGGTGTGTGCACCTTTTGGCTCAGATCAGTTAATTTCAGCAAACCCTTAATTAGTCATGGGAGTCGCCGTGGCCGAGCGGCTAGACGCTTGTCACGGATCGGAAGGTTGTGGGCTTGCTCTCTGGAGCCGGACTTTTTTCAAAAATGAGTGGGTACCGGGTGCAGTCCCAGGAAAGTAAAGGCGGCCGGCGTGATGCTGACCACATCACCCATCTTGTGCCGATTGGTCTATAAAAATATAGGTCTAGCCCTATATGCCCTATACGCCTAAAGGCCTGGAGAAGGGTCCTTTACTTTTACTTACTTTACTTAATTAGTCATCTTTCACAAAATGCTTGTTAATGGACAGTGGGTCTATGCCTAACTCACCCCCACTCGCTTATTAGGGCACTGAAACCCTCACAGAAAGCCACCTGGTTCAAATCTTTTTTTTTCCTTGGAGCAAAGTGCAGTACTAACTACTACACCACTTGAACACAAACCCACGAATGTACAACTACAACTAAATGTGACACCATCTCCTACCTGCATCTGTAAAGTTGCATCAGTCTGGAGTATAACACTCTTTGCTGCCCCATCAAAGAGGAATGGATAGTTGCAGAAATAAAGACCCTGGCAATAAGGTTGTTATAAAAATATTAAAACTTTGGGTATTTAAAAAAAGAAAAAATTACTGTAATTATTGCATTTACTTCTATTTCTGCTATATGCTGGGAGGGTTTTCTAGAGAGAGGAATAAATACTGTTATTCCAAGTAGTTATTATACATTATTCATCATCACTATTAGTTACTTTAGTTTAGACAATAAATCAACATCATGGCACACGGGTGTAAACCCATAAGTGCTCAAGCTTGAGTTTGAAGAATCTCAGCGCAGTACGTGAACTCTGTTGCACCGGAAAAGACCATGAAATACTTTTTGGGTAGATTTTTACCTCCAAACTTTGAACGGGCAGCACTTTTAGGCTATTCTTTTCGATTTCCAACTGCCAAGGTATTTTGTTTACGTGCGCAACAATACACACCGGCGTCCGGTCTTACTATCCAGAGACCGGGAGAAATTACTAGAAGTCAACGTGAAAAAATCCTAGCCTTCACCCGGGTTTGAACCCGAGACCTCCAGCACTCAAGGTGGATGCCATGCCCTGAGACCATGCAGCACTCCCCCCCCCCCCCACCCCTTACACTATTGTCCTGTTGTGCCCTTATATGTCACATAGGGCTTGCAGGCTACTCTTCCATTCCATTCTATCATGGATGGAATCCAGTCCAGCACCTTTAGCCTCTCTCATCAATGTTCATTTTAGGGTTTCTTTAGGGCATCCTCACTTCCTTTATCCCTTTATTTCCCATCTAAGTGTCTGTCTGGTGATTCTCTGTTCATTTTTTTTCAGCATGTGTCAAATATAGTGCCATCTTCTTTGTTTTTTTAACTATTGCTACCAGACTTGATTGCCCAGACAATGATTTTATTTTTTTCACCTCTCCTGAATTAATCCCATTTTACGGTCTAACTGATTGGACACCGTTCTGTTTTTCCAGACGATAGTGTTACATGGCGCTATGAGGAGGCATGGGACTCACCGACCATGGTAATGGAGAGTATGACTAGAAAGACCTGCCCGTGTTAGGAAAGTCTTCCATAATTATAGCATGGGACTTCAGGACCATCGTTGTCAACATTTGTGTTTAGTCTGTTTCTTCTCAGACACTCAGCTCTCAACCTGTCTGCAATCATTTCTTCCTTATTCTCATTCCCCTTTCTGATGTGTGCCCTCCTCACAATGTGGCACAGTGGTCAAGCTGTTTGCCTTGTGCATTAAAGGTTAGAAGTTCACTACATAGATGGGTCATACAGCTTACAAATGCAGCTTTTGTGGAGACCCGAGGACAACAGCTGGAACTATAGAGTTGATGCTATGCTCTCAACAAGGGGCTAGCCATTCTGCAGGGCGACCATGTCATAGGGGATAACCCAGTATAATAAAGTTGATCCTTTCAACTTCAACTTTGACTTTAACAGTGCATGAGATGGATATGACTATCCTCTGGTCATGTGCTTTTTATCTGCAGGCATGTGTGTGTGTGTGTGCATGCGCATATACATGCAAGAATGCGAGCACGCATGCGTGAGTGGTAGTGGTGGTGGGGGAAGTTGTACCTGCATGCCTGAAAGTTTTTCTTTTTCTAGCCAATTCCCCAACCCTAAGTGCTTTCAGAGTCAATGCATCTTCAGTCTTATATCCACCTTCGCAGAGGTCACACACATAGACCTTTATTCAATCTCATTCAACACATGCTTTTATACTCACTCATAAAACACATCATCATGTGCTATGCCCCTAAATTGAGTAGGTCATAGTTCACCATGATACACAATCATCAGAATCATGGAATCAGGTTAGTGTTTCTGCTTTGTCCTATCTATCCAGGTATTTATCTTGTTAACTTGCCCTTGATATTTTTAAATCAAATTTGACAGTTGTCATCAAGTTTTCAAGTTTATTCTTCCCATAACATGTCAGAAACATTCAGAATGCTGATGCTTAATATCAGTTTATACATGAATTTAATACACCATGGTACATTCAGAGAGGGGTTAACACAATCTGGATTATAGTTAATTTAAATGACCACTAAAGAAGACAAACAGAGCTTTTAAAATGAAATGTTAGAGGAAGAATCTCAGAGTTCCATGGACCAAGAAAAGATAAAACAATGAAATTCCTTACGATCTGAACGCTGAGGAAGACTAGTTCATAAAAAGTACAGTAACAATACAATTATTAAATGCCAAAATTGTTTTGGAAAGAACATAACAGAGGGTATCATTACTTAAAGACGATTGAGTCAGGGGTTAACCAGCACAATTGTAGACAGAAGATATCAAGGACATCCTAGATATGAAAGGTCATGAAGTTGGAATGTCAGCAGGGTGCCGGGTGACTTTCCAGCGTGTCATCATAAGAAATTCTTCAAAGTACCTGCTACGTGATTAACTCAGCCAAAATATCAATTCTAGCCGACAGATTAACCTCACTGAAGGTCGAATAAGTTGGTCCATAAATGCTCGGATCTCCTCCCTAGTAAATCCCGCAACATGTAGCAGCTGAAAACCCCAGTTCTGTGTTTGTTTCTTATTCTTCTTTGGCTTCCTGCATTGTGTTCTTGTCTGGCCACATCCCCATTAAACTGTTGTTCCTGCAGTCTGGTTATGATCACAGTCACTTGGTTCTCACAAAAAAACTTACTAAAAAATGTAAAGTAAACAAATCATCTGTCTCATATCTGAAGGTCGCAGGTTTGTTTCATGATCTGAAGGTTGTGGGTATTTACAGACAAGTGCAGTTTTAAAAAAAAAACCTTCTAGAGTTCAAAACTGGAGCCATAGAAATGTGCATTTGTGCAAGGCTCTTGGCAGATGGCTAGCTGCTCTGCAGAGAAAGACCAAGCAACATATTATATAACGTAGTGCCAATTTAATAACTGAAAAAAATATATTAAAAAATTTAAAGTGACAGATACCTGAATCATGACTCCGCCTACTTTAATACGATTGGTTGTTTTCTGTACCCAGTTGATATAGTCTGCACGGATATTGACTCTCTCCTGTATATCTGATACATAAAATTTGTTGTAGGGAATCATCTGATTGTTGTCTTCATTTACCTAAAAAAAAATGGTAAGGATAAATTAATGCAAAATTTATTGAGGCAGTGACAAAAGGTTTTGGCTACAATAAAATGTTTTGAAAAGTAGAAAATGTGCTTTAAAAGGTAGAAAATTACTGTACAATAATAAATACCAGCTAGTACTGGTGTTTCAATTCAATATTGTAAATGATAGTATTTTAACAGTTTTACTGATGGTCCTTCCTTCACTCCTTCTAATTTCCTTTTTGTCCTTCCACATCTTTCTTTATTTTCCTTTTTTTATCTTCACATTCTTCTTCTTCTGCTGCAGTTTTGATTAATTTCTTATGCTCCGCATTGTCAATAAATTTCTGAGTTGTCTCTATGATTCCAATCATTAGCATGGTCTGTGGAGCTGCATCAGTCTTTCATTCATTTTCATGTGACAAAAGATAAAGCAGGTGTGTAGAGTACATGCCCTTCCTGTCTGGATGAACTCATGTGAGCTAACTTTAGGATCCAACATTTAAATAGCAAGAGAGCCAATATGGTGGCTTTAATGCCCTTTATGTCTGGGGAGAATTAAGACAAAATAATGGTGGAACAAATGCAAATTTAAATGTCCTAATCTTGAAAACAGTAGGCCAATTAGTGAAAAATTATGTAGAAGTGGCAGAGATGTGGTTTTTACAGATGAATGATGAGAGCACCTCAGAGAGATAAAAACAGTGACAAAGATGTTTAGGAAGAAACTGTCGCACAAAGAGAATCGGTCGTCTGCATCAGACTAGCAAGACCCACCCACATAAAGAAAAGCCTTCCACAATTATAGTACACTGTTGTTGGAGGCTCCTAATATAACATGAATTCCTAAACTGGAAAAAAACTAAATCCCAGTGAAGAGAAAATGTTCAAGAAAGAACAGGGCAACAATCTCACCTGACTGAGCTTCTGCAGCATGTCTAGGCAGGTCACCAAACCAACTTGTCTTTTGTTCACCTGAAAGCAGCAGATGTAAAGCTAATTTAGCTCACAGCAGTAAGAACCGAGAAGTCAGTCCTTTCTCTCACCCCCCCTTCCCCTTCTCCCACCCAGCATACACACACACCTAGAGAGAGAGAGGGAGACCGAGATGCCATTGGTTACTATTTAATAAACTGACTGGTATCAGGCGTAGACTTCTAATTTCTTAACTGTTTTTATTTCATCTCTTCTTCTTACTCCAGCAGCTCTTCTAAAACATCTCATCTTTGTTGTTATGATCCTGTGCTCATTAGTTTTTATTAGGAGTCCAACTTGACAGTGGTAGCAAAAAGTTGGCCAAAAAATTATTATTAGATCTGCCTTGGTAGACAAAGCTTTACTTTTAGGTGTCAAACGATGTTAGCTGTCCCAGTACCTGATGTGCTTTAGCATATAATGTGTTGAGTTCTCTATCAGTTCTTCCTTCTGAAGCTTTCCAAGCTATATTATGTTATCACAATCTTCACAGCATATTTGGGCATTCCCATGCCTGCTCAATCCTCTGATGCAGCAGCCAATCCAAGGTACTCTAGTGATTGTTCCCAAGAGGAGTTGCTTGTAATGTCTCCTAACTCAGCATCAAAGGTGGTATAGACATGCTTCACCATACTTTACCCTTAGGTCATGGAATTGTGTTTGTAACAGAATCATCCTTTCACTAGCCCAGTCCATACAGTGTTGATTATACCAGCTCTATCAATGCTTCTTCCCACATGTGTTGGTGCATTGTCTGATAGCTGGTCTGCTCGCTCATTCAGTATTTATTACCTAAAATAAAATCAGTCTGGGTCTAATATGGTTCATATAATACCATTATGGGACAAAATAAGTGGAAGGAACAGTAATGAACAGTTAAGAATTGACCTAGTTAATATTACAGCTGAAAAGGTGACAAGAAGTCAATAAAAGGTAAGGTAGCCCTAATTAATGAATTGTGAGTTGCTTCAGAGAGCTGTTTCTTATGTATTATTATTTAAAAAAGAAATGTGATTTTTCCTCATTAAAATTTTACAAGGATAAAATAAACTCAAAAATTTTTAAAAGGCATAAGATTGACTACAAAAATCAGAGTACAATTTAAAAATCAGAGTACAATTAGAAGGAAACACAGCCACTTCCTGACATATCTTACCTCAAACAAGTTAGTTGTTTCAGTCAGCTGCAGCAGGTGTTCAACACACTGCTTATATATCTAAAATATAAACAGTTTACATAAGTTTACTACAAAATGAATCTATTTTAGTAAGTAGTAAAGTCAGCTACCTACCTAGTCAGTCGACAGATCCTCCTTATTGCACACTGAGCTATTCAGTCCATAAAGGCTCAGATCCCATCCTCAGTAAATTCTAAAGAGTCTAGCATGATCATAGTTTTGTGTTAGTTCCTTCACAGTGCTTTTCTTTTTCGGCTCTCCTTTCAACTACGACCGGTAGACAACAGTAGATGGCCGGTTAGTCGGAGTTCTGTTCCCTTGCTGCAGTGCAATTACGGAGTGGAAAGGAGGGAACGAAACAAATGACATAATTACTGTGTGTTGGCGATAGACAGCGTGCACTGCCCTGCTATAATCATACGGTTACGGTTTGGGTTAGGGTTAGGGTTAGGGGTAGGGTGTGGGTTAGGTTTAGGGTTAGGGTGTGGGTTAGGGTTACGGTTAGTGTCGCCGCATCTCATCTTCGCACAAACTCATAGTAGCAACCCAAACCCTAACCCTAAACCTAACCCTAACCCAAACCCTACCCCTAACCCTAACCCAAACCCTAACCGTATGATGACAGTAGGGCACTGCACGCTGTCTATCTCCAACACACAGTAATTATGTCACTTGTTTCGTTCCCTCTATTCCACTCCATAATGCGTCGCAAGAAGCGGTAATTGAATGGGGTCTGCCAGGCATGTCGACATCACTGTGTTTTCTGATTCGTGCCTTCTCCAGTCCGTAATTGCACTGCAGCCAGGGGACAGAACTCCGACTAACCGGCCGTCTACTGTTGTCTACCGGCCGTAGTTGAAAGGAGAGCCTCTTCTTCTTCTTTGCATTCACCGGATGTAAACTCTGGTGAAAAGTTCTGGTTGTTTGTCCACTTCTGGACTGCAGTCCTATTTCAGAACCTGAGTGTTGCATGTGCATCTGTTTGACAGATCTGACACATTTGTGTGCAGACTGTTGGTTCCTTGCCTCTCAGGCAGATGCACACCAATTTCAAAGGAAGCTCCTAATTAGTCGACTCTTACGACATGCTTTTGGGTAGGCAGTGGGTCTATTCTTGTTTTCCCGGAACCCACATGGGGTACAGTGCTTTTGTTGGCCACATTATATTTAATTTGTTTTTTTCAATCTGGTTATGATTGCAGATTCGCAACTCCTACCTGGTTGTCAAAAAATCTTGCGGCTCATACAGCATTCAGTATATCAGAATAGTTCATCGGTCGTCTGCCTTCTGCAGTAGCCTTATCTGCAAGCCTATCAGCTTGCTTATTTCCTTGTACACATGCATATCCTGGCATGAAAATACAACTGATCTTTGTCAGCAGTGACTGCCTCAGAGACACCAATCATTCTCGTTGGAACCAGCCTATCTCTATCCATCTGAACCTACTCGTTGAGTCACTGAGAAAGCATACATAGTAAAGGGTCCCATCAATGCTCTGTGGCACATACAGTGCTAACCTCTTGTCCATACAGACCAATCAGTGCTCAATAGGTGGTGCGGTCAACATCACTTTTACTTTAGGACATTTCCTGGAACTCATTTTAGGCTGGGCTGACTGGGAGCCTATGCCTGTTTTCTCTTTTAAATTTGATTTAGTGTGATGTGAACTCATGTTCACTGGAACAACCTTCAAGTATGCTAGCTACTGCACTACAGTGGTGCCTGAATCTCTAGCATGGAGCCTTCCAAGCTATGTTATGTTATCACAATTGATGTCACTGCCTATTTAAACATCCCCATGCCTGTTCAGTCCTCTGATGCAGCAGCCACTCTAAGGTATTCTACTGACTGTTCTTATGAGGAGTTGGTTTTAATGTCTCCTATCTCAGCCTCAGAGGTGGCAAAGACAACCTTCACCATGCTTTACTCCTAAGTCAAGGAACTGTGTTTGTAACAGATTCATCATTCCACTAGCCCAGTCCGTACAGTGCTAATGATTTCAGCCTTGTCGATGCTTCTTCCCACTTGCGCTGCTGCATTGCATGCCAGTTGGTCTGCTCGCTCATTAACTATTATGCCGACATGATCAGGTGTGTAGACCCATGTGAGGAAGGTTAAGTGTGATTTTCCTATGCTTTCTTTCCACTCAGAGCACACATTTTCATGCTTCTCTCATTGGTGACAAACCTTTTAAGACAAATATAATTTGACGACACAGTAATTCAGTTTACTAGTAAACCAGAAGTTAAACTAAGCCTTTAAAAGGATAAGACACTGTGACAAATATTTAACAATAGAAGCGACTAGCCAATTACAAAATAAAGTTTAAAATTTTTCACTGGTGTGAAAACAAAATAAAATGCACCATGTGCAATCAAATATTAAAGCTGCGTAAGTTGGCACTAACGGCACAGCATTGGGTGCTCATTATTCTATTCAATGCTTTATGCTTGCATGACACACCTTCACACTGCAGCAGAATAATGTGTCATGACAAAGTTATGCTCTAACGCTTAAATATACTTGTTCAAAGGTAATACCATGGTAGATACTGTATTCGGGTGTGAGGTATCTGACACTCAAATATCCTAGGTCATACCGTAATGATGTAGGATGCCCGATTAACTTCCTCACCAACACTCTCTCTCTTTCTCTTGTTGTATCTCACCAGGACATCACACAAGCTGTAAACACCTGGTGACACAAAGTGCCACCATGCGGATGAGGATCACTAGTGGAGAGGTCCCAGAAACCCCTTTCAGCCATTCTGGCCATATTTATAGCCCAGCTATATTCAGGGCCCCCGGCAAAAGCCAGAGTTGGGCTTCAAATAATGAAAAATTGTATCCCACATGGGGACAAGTGATCCTAACCAACTTTCTTTCTCAGACATTCATAAGGAAATGTTCTAAACAGAGACCAGATTATTTTCAAGACGTGTTACTGATATTTCTGGAAGAAGTTTCAACAGACAGATAAGTGATTTTGTGCATTGCTGTTTGTAAATGTATCGACAAGTCAAAGTTCTGAGGGCATACATGACAAGGTAGATGTGGTCAAGGCCCTTTGGAAACAAGCAATGGAATCAGTGGAGAAAGAAGATTATTATGGCCTAGAGAGAATAAGGAACCTGGGTGTAACCAGAGGGTCTGGCCGGCTCACTACACTCAGAGGAAAGGCAAGACGGACATATAACCTGATTGTGACAGGTACCATCAGTATTGGAACTCTGCACTGGCTGCTGAAGATGAGGATGGAGCAGGCATGGGAATGCCCCAAGTGCTGTGATGTCAATTCTTGACAGCTGGAATATATCTTAAATATATCTGCATTATGCAATAATTTTTACATGAACTTCCAAGTTTAAGCTCCTACACTGAGAAGTACTTTTCTATTTTACATTGCTGTTTACAGATTTATCATCATCCTCATCATGCAGTGGTTTCTTTACTAAAGACATTGTCAATATAGTGCACCAGAGAGACTATCTTTTTATAGTTTCCCTGCCGCTTTTATTTTTCATAAAAGGATCACAACAAGAGTGCACAACCAGGGCAAAGACAGGATAACATCAATGGTGCACAACCAGGACAAATGGCAGGGTAACATCAAAAGTGCAAACAAGGGCAAAAAGAAAGATAATATCAAGAGTGCACAACCAGGGCAAAAAGCAGGAAAACATAAAAAGTGCATGACCATGGCAAAAGGCAGGATAACATCAAGAGTTCACCACCAGGTCAAAAAGAAGGATAACATCAAGAGAGCACAACCAGGGCAAAAGGCAGGATAACATCAAGAGTGCACAAACAGGGCAAAAAGAAGGATACTATCAAGAGTGCACAACCAGGGCAAAAAGAAAGATAACATCAAGAGTGCACAACCAGGGCAAAAGGTAAGATAACATCAAGAGTGCACAACCAGGGCAAAAAGAAGGATAACATCAAGAGTGCACAACCAGGTCAAAAAGAAGGATAACATCAAGAGAGCACAACCAGGGCAAAAGGTAAGATAACATCAAGAGTGCACAAACAGGGCAAAAAGAAGGATAACATCAAGAGTGCACAACCAGGTCAAAAAGAAGGATAACATCAAGAGAGCATAACCAGGGCAAAAAGAAGGATAACATCAAGAGTGCACAAAAAGATCAAAAAGAAGGATAACATCAAGAGAGCACAACCAGGGCAAAAAGTAAGATAGCATCAAGAGTGCACAAACAGGGCAAAAAGAAGGATAACATCAAGAGTGCAAAACCAGGTCAAAAAGAAGGATAACATCAAGAGAACACAACCAGGGCAAAAAGAAAGATAACATCAAGAGTGCACAAACAGGGCAAAAGGCAGGATAACATCAACAGTGCACAACCAGGGCAAAAGGCAGGATAACATTAAGAGTGCACAAACAGGGCAAAAGGCAATATTTTAGAGATTCACTGAAGCCAACATTAATTGTAGAGACGGCAACCAATTCACTGTGGAGATGGCAAACATTTCACTGATTTAATCACTAAAATCTGACAGAATACCCTAATGTGATACAACAACAGTATGATTAACATGTGATAACTTAAAAGTAAGCACATGTCACTCACCAAAACCAAACGGCTGAAAAAGGATGAACCATTTGAAGGCCACCAAGAATCTGAAAGCAGGAGAGAAAAAACAAACGTGAACATGTAAATCAATTCACACGCCATTGGGGCACTGAGCATATGAGGTTAGACTTATATTTTTGTAGACCAATCAGCCCTTGATAGATGATATGGACATTATCATACTGGTCACCTTTACTTTCTAGGACTTTAGTTAGCCATCCATGACCAGAAGCAAAAAATATTTCAAGGCATTAATGGACTGCTTGCCTATTCTTCATATTGGACTAGAAATTCACAGTTCATACTAATCTATGGTATCTTTAATGCACATTTTCAGAGGAACCATGTATCTTTTGTAATCTGCGGCTTCCACCTGTTGTCCGCACTGCTCATGAACTTTCCACACTCATATTGGACTGATCAGCCACCTTTGTACTTATAATCACTGATCATTACTACTTTGGATGAAAAGTGGTCTTCATCACTCGTGATGGACAAACAACACTTGAATGATATAAATTTGTTATTTGTTGCACAAAATATGAAATACAATCATGTTTTTATTTTGTTGTTCATGGATAATTTTTCATGAAAAATGCTGATAAAGCAACATATTCTTAATGATTATAGAGGAGTGGCTAGCTAAAGGATTAAGAGCAATTGGCTCTCCATTCAAGAGACCCAGGTTCGAATCCACGTTAAGGTGACATATTTTTTTCAGGGGGAAAAAATCTAGCTTGTGTCTGCTGCAACTGTGCTAGCCATGCAGCCTAAATCATCAAGCTCAAGACCTGTCATAGACGTGTGGCAAATACAGGCCATAACAACACTGAAGATTGCCCACACACAAAAAAACTATTATTATTCAGTCTATCACTAATTTTCAGTAAAAGATCAGAACTCACCAAATACTTTCAGAGCCACAGGAGTCAGTGAAAGAAGGCTTTTTGCAAGTGGACAAATGACGGCACTGTACAGCTTTGGCTCGTCAAAGAGATGGCATTCAGGTAATATGAGGTACAAACGAAGGGCCTCAACATCTGGAGGGGAAGCAGGCAACATGGGGATCAAATGCTGTTCAATGTTTGTGCATATCTGAAAGTACAGAGAACGATAAAAGTACACAATGAAAGAAATTAAATGACGACTATCAACTGCTCTTCAAAGACTAAAACAACAGAAAAATTATGGAGTGGGACAGACAGAACTACAAAAATTAGATTAGAAGAGCATGCATCTTTCCCATTGCAACATACAAATGTGAGACCTTGACTCTTACTAAACAAGCTGAACAGCACATAAATGTCTTTGAATACAAATGTTATAGACGGATTCTAAGAATATCATGGGTAAAGAAAAGAACATATGCATCCATACTAGAAGAACTGAATACTGAAGAAGGTCGGCTATTAAAGATGATAAAACACATAAAACTGAAATATTTTGGTCACTTGAAAAGTCACAAAAGTTTAAAGAGAACAATAATGGAGGGATATATGCCTGCGAAGAGAGGAAGGGAGGCCAAAGAGTAGATGGGTGCAGGATGAGGTGGATGATCTCCAGAGAAGTGTATCAGATGAGGGACATCTTGCTTGTGATTGAGAAGTTTTCTGGAAGGTTGTTATGGGAGCAAGGTTTTGCAAAGCACATGCTACTGCCTGACAGATACAGTGTTCAATATTTGTGCATACCTAAAACTACAGAGAATGATAATAGTTCACTGTTATGTTTTATTTCCTAGTATGAGGAAATGCAAAATAAAAACCTAATTTTATTGTAGGCCAAACCAGGCCTTGGCTGGCAGGCTTTATTTTTAAAAACTAAAGAAAAGAAATGCAATAAGTCAGACTTAAACAATGGCAAAACATGAGCTTTAGAGCTCATGAAAAATATGCAGAAGCTAATAAGAAAGTAGGGTGAATAAGGGTAGATAAAGGGGAATTTTTAGATGACCCAGTATAAGAAGCATAGACACCAGCAGCAAATGGAAACCTCAGAGACCTTTACAGCACCACAAGGAAATTAGTAGGTAAATATAGTCAACCAACTGAATTAATAACAAAAACAGTCAAGAAATAGTTCTGATATTAAAGATCAAATGGACAGATGGGCTAAACACTGGAAAGTATTTCTGAACAGACTATCCCTTCTAGATTTCCAGCATTAAGAAATGGAACTGGATATGAACTGTGAGATATCATCTAAAGAGGAAATTAATCAAGCTATAAATTTACAGAAGAAAGGTAATGCTGCAGGTCTAAATGGTATCTTAGCACTAGAAACTACAGGGGTACAGAAATAAAGGCAGATCAAACAAAACACACGCTGAAGGGAGCTAGGCTAGAAAATGAACTTAAAAAGATAGGGAGGAAAGTACATGCATGCAACAGCAAAGGATACGACGACTTGGGGTGAGTTGGTTGAAGGCCTATGCTCCACTGGGGGATAGTGCAGAAAAAGAAGAAGAAACATTGCTGTTCTCTATAATTCACTCCCCCATATCTTGCACCTGCCAACTACTTTCTCTTCCTCAAGTAAAGATGTCCCTTAACACTGAAAGACATTTAGAATGCAGTGACAAGGCAGCTTAAAAAAAACATTTCAAACGCTTTTTTCCCTGGAAGCTATGAAGAAGCTAAAGAAGCTTGCACATCACAGAACAATGTATTTTGAAGAAACAAATTAAAATTATATCTAAATAAGAAGTTATCTGTGTTTTATATCTTGAACTTTTGGGTCATGTTCTGTACTAGGACACATTATATTTTTCATAGTAGTCATTTTACAAAGAGAGTGCATGATTAATGGACAACTTACAGCTTACAGAAAGTGGTGAAAACATGGCTGACTGCAGTCAACATAATACCAAGAAATCAATACACTGAACTGAGCTCAACAAAAGAGGGAAGAATGCAACCATCATTTGAGGACTAGTGGCCAAGGTAATCTGCCTCTTGTTACTGCTGCTGTTAGTGTCAAGAGAGGCTTTGGCCAAACGTCCAGTATTTCCTGTATGTATACGTTGTTCCCCTTTTCCCTTTCTTTAAGCTTAGTAACAGTTCAGTGCATTTAAAAACTCACAGACAGCTTAACTCTTTTAACTCTGAAAAACATTTTACAAATGTCATATACAAATTAGTATTTTACACTTTTACTCACATACTGCATGGTGGCTATGTTATTAATTGCTGCCAGATCTTGAAAAAATGTTCGAACTGCATACATGTCCACACCGTGTTTCTTGCTACTACTCCCATAGTGTTCATCGTTACTGTACAGCAGTAATAAGCAGATGTGAAGGATATTATGTGATCAATGAATAACTAACTATACACTTAAATAGGGCAAAAATATTTCACATCAACTGTTTCAGTGCCAGAGGACAGTTTAAGCAGTTATAAATCACAGCGTGATGTGTTCCTTGCTACCTTAAGAGTTAGAAGAAATACAACTGACAGCTGCAGTCATCTGCTTTCATCTACTCTTTCTTTCTTTCTTCATCTTCTTCATGTTCACCAGCTGTAAGCTCCAGTAGAAAGTTCTGGTTGTCCACCTCTGGACTTATGTCTTGTTCCCGAATCTGAGTGTTGTGTGCACATATGTTATACAGATGTAGCTTATTTATATGCACACTGCTGGTTCCTTGCCTCTCTGGCTGATGCACTCTGATTTCGAAGGAAGCCTCCAATTAATCGACTCTTACGACATGCTTTTTGGGTAGGCAGTGGGTTTAATTTGGTTTTCCCCATAATGGAGCCATGTAATTTACATGAGGACCCCTTCTTTCACCTTTCATTTCTCAATGGAGCACAGGTTCCAGCCAACTTACACTAAGTCTTTTGTACACACACGATTAGCTGAATTCTGCAGTTAAAGTGTTCCATGATTTTGGTTAGCCTGCCCCATGTCAACCTTTTTTTTGTCACTTCTTACAACATGTATGATAGGTTATCCTTTGCTTCCCTAATGGGGCACATGCCAGTCTCCTGCATATAAGATGGGTTAAAGTTTCAAGAACTTTTTTAATACCCTGGATTTCTAGTATTTTTAAAAGGTAATCGGTAATTGCCATTCAAACTTCATAGCAAACGGGTCACGCCATACTTGCTTTGATACGGTGCCATGAATCAAACTGACACAGACTGCAGTCTGAGCAAAGTCAAAAGCATACACATATATTAAATGCATAAAGCAGCCATCAGAAGTGCTAACACAAACTGTCCAACACTAGAAATGCAGCAAATCATTGAGGGAAGCCGTAGTTACAACAGATCAGAAGTTGCAAGCAATCGCAAAAGGCACCACCAGTTCTCTGACAGCAGGCCAATCGCCATTTTCGGAATATGCTTACTGTTTATCACAAATGGGAGTTAACACGGTATACAGTTTTGTATCACAGTTAACTATTCAAATATGTTAAGTTGAACTGGGGCTAGAAAATTCCCATAAGAGCTTTGTCCTCATCTTCAGCAGTCAGCGCACTGTTCTCATTGCCAACATGTCAGCAGCAGGTTGACTATTTCTCCATATGACCACAGGGGGGCATGGTGTTTGCCTCGAGTGCTAGAGGTTCCGGGTTCCATCCCTGGTAAGGGCTGGGATTTTTTCACATGGACCTGGACTTCTAGTCATTCCCCCTGGTCTCTGGGTAGTGAGATCAGACGCCGGTAGGTATTGATGCGCACGTAAAAATATCCCTTGGAGTTGGAAATTAAAAAGGGTAGCCTAACGGCGCAAGCCTGAGCAAAATTTGGAGTTAAAAATCTACCCAAAGTATTTCAGGATCCCCGCCGGTGCTACAGAACCTGTGCACTGTGCTGAGCTTTTTCGGACTCAGACTTGAGTTACAAGAAGAACAGAGCACTTATGGGTTACTACCCATGGGCCATGATGTTGATCAGTTGTTTAAACCTCAAAATCTCATCCATATGACCACAGTGTGAGTGTTGGCCAGATGCTCTTGGCAAAGACAAATTTCCAGAGGTATACAAGAGGTACACAGATGATGGGATTGGTATAACCAAAATATCCAAAGGTGAGCTAGACCAGTTCATCCATTTCATCAATATTTTAAGTCTACTACTTTAGTAAATTTCTGGACATCACATTCAGCACTGATTACCTGTGTTTAAAGACAACAGCTTACTACAAACCTATGGATTCTCATAGCTATCTCCTCTATATGTCGTCTCACCCACTGCCTTGTAAAAATTATATTCTGTACTCACATCTTCTTTGACAGCTCAGGTTGTGCTCCGATAATTCTGACTTCTTAGATAAATCATATAAACATCTTGACTTCTTCTGTGCCCATTTCTATCCTAAAAACATCCTACAAGAGGTTCTGAACCAAGTACTACCCATCAGCAGGAGAGAAGCTTTCCCCACCAAACGCAATTAATTTTTAATCCCATCACTTGGGCATCCTTCGCCCTAACCCAGAGACCTAGATGATCTTCAGTCAGAAGCCTAGATTAGTCTACAGATCAGACTGCAACCTAAAAGATATACTTGCTAGTAGCCGGTGATGAAACCACACACTTTGCTTTGGAAAATCACCACATCCATAGTCTATTCCAAGCCCACAGGTTCAGCATACTTTGATCTAAAGAATTTCTCTCTTCTTACTTAAATTTATTTTATTCTATTTATTTCATGGATCATGAGTATTTTTATCCCTACTACTTTTATACATTGCCACTACTACTTTTATTACTATTTTCACTTCTTTATTTATTTTAATTTTTCCGTCAACATCCCCTTTTTCTCTTCCTATATTTTACAGACATCAACTGTGAGATACCATCTAAAGAGGAAATTAGGAAAGCTATCAATCTTCTGAAGGAAGGAAAAGTTGCAGGCCCAGATTAAAAACAAGAAGATATTTTATGGGTATTCACGTGACTCAACCTGTGGGCACTGATGGTTGGAGTACTTCGCCCTTTGTTACTGTTATGCAATTCATGTTGAGAAAGGCTTCGGCCAAAAGGGTGATTTTTTTCTATTTTGTGCATGTTTTCCCCCTTCGCCCTTTTGTTAAACCTTTTAACCCCAGTTAACTGGATTAATTTCCAAGACTTTAGTTTCACTTATTAATATGCAAACTGTTGGTTCCTTGCCTCTGTGGCAGATGCACGCTGACTTTGAAGAAAACAGCCCTATTTTGTTGCCCTTGCAACTCCCACAGGGACTGGCTCTATTTAAATACGTGCAAAATAAGATACATACATTCTGCAGATTATTTTTATGGTACTGGAGTTTACAACCGGGACATGAATGAAACAATGAAGTTTTAAAACGTAAGTTTGTTACTTACGGTAATAAAAACGATCCATTTATACAAGATGCACTGGAGAAGATCTTTTCCAATTCGCTGAAGAAATTTTAGAGAAAGATTTGATAAATTAATATCACTTAAATAAATCAAGGAGCAAAGTGGGCAAGCATATCGATCACAAAGGTCAAAGTTCAGCCAACAAACCGAGCAATTTTTCTTTCAGTAGTTTGTCACTGCATTCTTAACGACAGGAAGCTCATTCTGTGGTCAAAATCAATGCGAAATGGTATGCTACCGAATGGCTTGAAGTTCACTTTGAAGTCCGGTGTGTCAGGATTGTACACAGATGCTAACAGATAAGAGAATGTCAAAAAAATTGCTTAATAAACATCTCCACACAAAAATTTGCCATTAAAAAGTTACAAGACAGAAAAGAATGAAAATATATACTTAAAGTCTATACTCAATCATTATTTAGACTTTACAAAGGTTTAATGTCAAGAAGGTCAACTTCATCATACCGGATTTTAGTTCACATGACTGTCTGTGTGTGTGCGTGCGAGCACATGCATGTGAGTTTGTGTGTGTGCGTGCATGCATGTGTGTGTGATGTATGCATTAATGACAGGTAAATATAAGTATGCACACTGTGTACGATACTAAGTGTTTATATGAGTATGTGTGTGTGTATATATATATATATATATATATATATATATATATATATATATATATATATATATATATATATATATATATATATATATGTGTGTGTGCGTGTGTGATATGTATGAATGTGCATGAAAGTAGGTATATGTATGAATGTGCATGAAAGTAGGTACATGAATGAATGTAGGCAATCAGTCCCTGGGGACCAGAGAGCTGTGCCACTGTTTTTAAGAACAGCGTCTGCTATGACTGTAAAGACCAATTCAGGAGTGGCAGCTTCTACCACACAGTCCACATAAAACACTGATACTCTTGTCGTTCTGAATCTGGTTTTTCTCTCAGATTTCTCTTGATAGCCTGCTGCGTTTGGCATCTTTTAGACTGTTAAAGTCCATCTTTCACTGTCTGCCTCCAAAGGAGTCGGTCTGTAGCTGATCAATGTTGATATCTTTCAGGTCACGGTTGCATATGTCCTTACAGTGTAGCTTTGGGCTTCCTGCAGGTCTTATTCCTGTTACCGGTACGAATGTGTATATATCACCTATGCCTGTGTAATTGACATTCATATTATGTATATTGTTATATGAACCTAACATGCTTTATAGATAAAATACACTTGCTGTGTAAAAGATGCGTTTGGAGTTTGAATGTTGAATTAAGAATCGACATTACAGCACTCAGGACACTTTCACAAGTGCTCAGTCCCCTTTTTCAGCAGCAAGCGAAGAGTTCCAATTCCGATGGTACCAGTAACCGTCTGTTGTATATTCATCTCATCCTTCCCCTGAGCCCCTGAGTGTTAAGTGTCGGCCAAATCCCCTTTTAACTCCTCGCAGCGCCTTTCCCCTTAGACTGTAATGATCTATCTGCGCCTCCTCACTGTTCACTCGCTCCCAAAAAGCCCTTACAATATCTAACTTGTCAGACATCAATTCACAACCAAGTGGTGCAGAGCCAGCCAGTCTATCTGCCTGCTTATTTCCCAACACACCTGCATGACCTGGAGAAAATATCTAAAGGATGCTAACTGTCCAGGACCTCTGAAGTGATGCTTGCCACACTGCATGAAGCATGCCTGTTTTCACCTTTCTCAACATGCTCTGTGAGTTGTTTGCCTTTCTCAACATGCTCTGTGAGTTGTTTGCCTTTCTCAACATGCTCTGTGAGTTGTTTGCCTTTCTCAACATGCTCTGTGTGTTGTTTGCCTTTCTCAACATGCTCTGTGAGTTGTTTGCCTTTCTCAACATGCTCTGTGAGTTGTTTGCCTTTCTCAACATGCTCTGTGAGTTGTTTGCCTTTCTCAACATGCTCTGTGAGTTGTTTGCCTTTCTCAACATGCTCTGTGAGTTGTTTGCCTTTCTCAACATGCTCTGTGAGTTGTTTGCCTTTCTCAACATGCTCTGTGAGTTGTTTGCCTTTCTCAACATGCTCTGTGAGTTGTTTGGAGTTTAGAAGGTTCCAATGCAAGATTGGCCTGCATGCCCAATTTGTGACCCTTTGAAAATCAAGTATGTTCATTTTTCTGTAGAATGGCTAGCAGCCCACAAAGCATGAGTGTCCCACAAAGCATAAGTGTCCCACAAAGCATGAGTGTCCCACAAAGCATAAGTGTCCCACAAGGCATGAGTGTCCCACAAGGCATGAGTGTCCCACAAGGCATGAGTGTCCCACAAGGCATGAGTGTCCCACAAAGCATGAGTGTCTCACAAGGCATGAGTGTCCCACAAGGCATGAGTGTCCCACAAAGCATGAGTGCCCCACAAAGCATGAGTGTCTCACAAGGCATACGTGTCCCACAAGGCATGAGTGTCCCACAAGGCATGAGTGTCTCACAAGGCATAAGTGTCCCACAAGGCATGAGTGTCCCACAAGGCATAAGTGTCCCACAAAGCATGAGTGCCCCACAAAGCATGAGTATCCCACAAGGCATGAGTGTCCCACAAAGCATAAGTGTCCCACAAAGCATAAGTGTCCCACAAGGCATGAGTGTCCCACAAGGCATGAGTGTCTCACAAGGCATAAGTGTCCCACAAGGCATGAGTGTCTCACAAAGCATAAGTGTCCCACAAGGCATGAGTGTCCCACAAGGCATGAGTGTCTCACAAGGCATAAGTGTCCCACAAGGCATGAGTGTCCCACAAAGCATAAGTGTCCCACAAGGCATGAGTGTCCCACAAGGCATGAGTGTCTCACAAGGCATAAGTGTCTCACAAGGCATGAGTGTCCCACAAGGCATGAGTGTCCCACAAGGCATGAGTGTCCCACAAAGCATGAGTGCCCCACAAAGCATGAGTGTCCCACAAGGCATGAGTGTCCCACAAAGCATGAGTGTCCCACAAGGCATAAGTGTCCCACAAGGCATGAGTGTCCCACAAGGCATGAGTGTCTCACAAAGCATGAGTGCCTCACAAAGCATAAGTGTCCCACACAGCGTAAGTGTCCCACAAAGCATAAGTGTCCCACAAAGCATGAGTGTCCCACAAAGCATGAGTGTCCCACAAAGCATAAGTGTCCCACACAGCATAAGTGTCCCACAAAGCATGAGTGTCCAACAAAGCATGAGTGTCCCACAAAGCATGATGAGTGTCCCACAAAGCATGAGTGTCCCCAAAGCATAAGTGTCCCACAAAACATGAACTTACTCTGTAATCTCAGGGGATGGTATATCTGTTGGATTTAATGAATGCAACATCTCAATCTTGTCCCTGGAAAGGGTGAGAATATTTCGGGAAGAATCATCTGTTCTGAAGTCATCAGATTCTATGGGCAACTGAAATTTATAGCAGAGTTATTAGGTAAAAAACAAAATCTATGTTTACTTGAACATACATAAATATCAGTGTTATCATCATCATCATCATCATCATCATCATCATCAAGTGCCTAAAATACGGGGTGAAGCATTCAAAAACAAATGTTACAGAAAAATTCCATGCTTCTGCCGTAAAGAATGTAAAAGTAATGCTCAAGTTAGACAGACAATTCCCATGTACACAGTGCAGCAAGAATCAGTTCTACAAATCGTTATTAGCTCTTTGTGTGAATTATGGGGCCCCACTGGAGGGGGATGGCGGGGGGGAGGAGGTTGATCCACTGCCCCCTAGCGACCATGCTGGTAAAAGGTGACTTATCAGGGGTCTGTGAAAATCAAATGCCCTGCTGTCAACCACAAACACTCCAACCACCCTTTTAAGAGTGAAAGCAAAGCCAGAAATGTCATTGGTTGTGATTCCAACTTCATGGCAAACAGGTCACTCTATAACTGCATGTTTCTGAATCGATTGTGTAGATTTGTTTATTAAACACATTCTTCCATGCCTCTGCAAAGTGGGTATTTTTATTCACTGACCTTATTTCTCATGTCAACCCAGTCTAAAATGGGATCAGGAAATAAAGTAAGCAATGTTACATGTTAGTGACAACATTGCCCTACAAAGTGTTGACTGGGCAAAAATATGGCGCCAGCACTATATACCAAGACAACTCACTGCACAGGCACACACATGTAGTTGTAAAGATGAATGATGCAAACACAATGGACAGAAAGAGTAATCAAGTTATCACTCAATGGAGCATATTCCCTCTCTAGCTAATACCAAGTCATCCTATCCTGTGCTATAAAATGCAGCTCACCTCATGCCCTCTCCAACATATCAACTTCACCTCTCTGAGGTTTGAGGTTAGAACAACGGACCGATATCATGGCACACGGGTAGTAACCCATAAGTGCTTTGTTCTTCTTCTAACTCAAGTCTGAGTCCGAAGAAGGTCAGCACACTGCACAGACTCTGTAGCACCAGCAAGAATCCTGAAATACTTTGGGTAGATTTTTAACTTAACATTTTTCCCAGGCAGCGCCGTTAGGCTACTCTTTTCGATTTCCAACTGCCAAGGGATTTTTTACGTGCGCAACAATGCACATGGGTGTCTGATCTCTCTACCCAGAGACCAGGGAGAATTACTACAAGCCCAAGTCCACGTGGAAAATCCTAGCCCTTACCGGGGATTGAACCCAGAATCTCTAGCACTCAAGGCGGACACCATGCCTGGAGACCACGCAGCCCCCTTCACCTCTCTAAATCCAGTGTGTGTCCTATTCAATGGCAGCAGCTTCTCTTCACCTCTTGATCCATTGGAATTTTTTAAGTTCTCTTCTAAAGCTCAAATTTAGTGATATATCATACTATTTTATTCTATTTATTTTGCACAAGCACCACTGTATGAATGTTTGTAGTTTATTAGTAATTGTTTTTGTGGTTCTACAGCAAAACTGATCTGACATTAGAGCATAAGATTTTAAAGTTAAGTATTAGTTTTCATTTCCTCTTACCCCTGTGTGGGTTCCGGGGCCCCATTGTGGGGAAAACAAGAATAGACCCACTGCCTCCCCAAAAGCATGTTGTAAGAGTCAACTAATTGGGGAGCTTCCTTTGAAGACGGAGTGCGTCTGCCGGAGAGGCAAGGAACCAACAGTCTGTATTCAAGAGAATGAGATCTGTAAAACTGATGCACACGCAACACTCAGGTTCTGGAGCAGGACTGCAGTTCAGTAGTAGACGAGCAACCAGAACCTTCCGCCAAAGTTTACAGCTGGTGAACGCGAAGAAGAAGAAGATTTCCTCTTACTTCCAGAAATGTCCTTATTTTATGCTTGTTAAGAGGCAGTGGGTCCATCATCCCACTCCCCTCCTCCTCCCCCTCCTGCAAACCAATAGGGATTTGAAACCCACAAGGGGACAATAAAAACTACTTCCCTATACCTTTAAAAGTTAGAATTGTGATACTTACATCTGCATCCACAGCAACAACAAAAGACTGATCACCCCCAGCATAAATAGTTTTTATCCTGAGTGCTGGCCCTTGGCTGTCGACATGCATGACAGCCAGTGAATTATCATGGTCACTAGCTGGCGCAAAAGGAACTGGAACTAAAAAGGGACTGTTTCTGTCATCTGTACTTGACAATCCAAGCTGGCCGCTCTCACCAAGCCCAAATGCATAGAGTCTGCCAGATTTAGGGACATAGGCTAACGTATGATTTCTGTGAAAAAATAGACAATTGCTAAGTTCAATCACGAAAATATTTAAATATACTTTATGACAAGTATTTAAAAACTTAAATGCTAAGTAGCAGCAGGAAAATTTGATGAGAAAAGAGTAAGAGGAAGACAAAAATACATGAACGGGTTGGCCAATAACTTGACATTAACAGGACAAAAGTTGAGATTTGATCCATGGTTCTGATGATCATGTGAGAGAGCAAACACCGCTCCCTTATGTTTAGTGGTATGGCCCATGATGAAGATTTCACAGCCTTAAAAACCACAATTTGGATAGTCCTAGAAAAATATAAACATGAAATTACAATGTGCAAGATGAGATGTATAAGAAATGTGGTGGGAAAAACAAGAAGAGACAGGGCCACCACTGAAGAACTAAGAACAATGGTTGGCACAGTGGTGGTAAAAAATGTCATTAAACATTGAAGAATCAAATGGTCTGGTCACCTGATCATAATAGAACAAATTAAACCAGTAGCTAGAGGGTACTACATGAGAACTGTAGGCTACAAGTCAAGAGGCCGACCAAGAAAGAAATGGGTGCAGGGAGTAAAAGAGACACTACAGCAATGCAATATGAAATCAACTCAAGCGAAGTAACTAGCAAAAAAACAGGAAACTATCCCTCTCTGTGATGCTTCACTGCAGGGCTATTCAACTGGTGGCCCACGGGCCAAATCTGGTCTGCGGAGGCCTAACAAGTAGCCCTCAGATGACTGCCATCTGTATTGTTTTAATGATCTTTGTGTATCTGAGTTTGAGCCTCTGGCCCAGGACAATCCCCATTCTCAAAATTGGGGCCCCTGAGTTAAACTCAGTTTAATAGCCCTGTTTTACTGCATACGCAGTAGGACAAAAGATTAAAAAAGAAGACAAACCAAAATCTCAATAGAAGTATGAAAATCTGTTTACTACAAGGTCTTTGTGGCCAGTTACTCAGTAAGGGTGTGAACTCTGGACACTGTTTAATGAAGCAGACGTTGTTTTTTTTTTTTTTTTTTTTGGAAGAATGCAAAGAATATCTTGGAAAGGGAAAGCTAATAAAGCAGTTCTCCTTGAGACAGATGAAAACTAAAAACATATCAGCGAAATTAGATGTAGACAATGTGGTTTTGGGATATTTTATGAGCAAGAATAGACGAGAACTTTGTAAAAGTTGACCAGTTTGATGGAAAAAGAGCAAGGGCAAGGCAAAGAGAAAATCTACGGCTGTCTTAGACATATGAATGAGGCAAGGCAAGAACACTGACCTCGTATGAGATTCTGGTGATCATGTGAGATGGCAGAAAAGTGTCCACCTCCTGAGTTTAGAACAGATCCACGTTCACAAGCATGTTGTAAATGGTCACTAATTAAAGGTTTGCTGAAATTGGATGTGTTAGGCACATATACTGCAGCTTACCTGTAAACCACAATATAAACATGCCCACCGCCCTTTCTAAGGGAAATACAAAGAAAACAAGAATTTCCTATCACAACAGCTTAAAAAAATTTTTTTTAATCAGTAAAGCGTTTATCATTTCACTATTACTATTGCAAGAACAACATGTTAAAAGTGGTGTGGCCAGAAAAGAACATTATGCAGGAAGCCAAAGAAGAAGAATAAACCAATATAGAACTTCAATGTGCAATAAGAATAATCGGTGCTTTCTTAATATCCTACTCAAAACAGGGGAAATCCACAGGTCATGGGACAGTCTAATATTTCAGGGAGTGGTAGATAGGCTGCATACAGTCATGGGACCAGGCTGCATGCATTTGTGGGGCTTAGGCGGCACTCTCTCATGAGAAGTGAGTGGCTGGGGTTAGGCCCAGTTCTAGATGTTTTGAGGTCATTAAAAGCATCAGAAAGCTGGGAAACCCAGTCTTACCACCCTCTAAAATGTTGGACTGTCCTGTGACGTCATCTGGGGTAGGATATTAAGAAAGAACCGAATAATCTGTCATCTAACTAACTAACTAACCAATTATTAAAACTGATAGCAGTTCTAGATTTTGCTGGGACTGCACCAAAAGCTGGCCAAAAAAAACCAGCAGACCGAAAGGACTTCAGTGATTTGTTTACGGGTACTGGAACACTGCAATTTGATGTAACCTATTTACTAGGAAGTGTGCAATTTCTTTAATAGGTTAATACTTTAGATTTGTTTCTTGAAGGACTATCCAACTTGTGTTTACATTTCACCTGTATAGGTAACATTAAAACTGAAGCTGTTCAATAATGCTTCATGCATTTAAAACTTCAAATCAATAATACCTTCCACAAGCAATCTGGGAAACCTCACTTCCGGACAGCTCCATGACTTGCCGGGGTAACATTTCATCATTGTTACTGTTATGACCAAGTTGACCGTAACTTCCATCACCAAAAGTAAACACGCGGCCATCCTGTTGTATACAAGAAATCAGTGAGGAAACTGTAACATTTTATTTAGCATCCTAATTATGTAAAAAATGATGAGCACTGTGCTCCATTTTCAACTGCTATCATATGTGTTCTGGAACTCCTAAATATTTTTTTAATATGGGTTTAACCCTTTTGTCGGCGTCTGTAACTTTAACTCTTTTGTACTGAGAAAGCTAAAATAAATAGGTAATGAGCCCGTGAAGGATATTTGGGTTTGCGGCTTCCTGGTGCAACAGGGTAAACTCAACCAATACTGCAGGACTAGTACACAACATTCACCTTTTGTAAATAAAATTCCTCCCAAATCAAATTAACTCTTTTATATATGAGGTTTAATATATATATATATATATTATATATATATATATATATATATATATATATATATATATATATATATATATATATATATATATATATATATATATATATATATATATATATATATATATATATATATACACACACACACATATATATATTTACTTGACCTATTAAAATGAAAATGAAAACCAGTGAGTTAGTAAAATTGAACATTTCATTGCATTATGTAAATAATAAATGTAGACTTCTTTTTTAACATCAGAAATACTTATTTACTTATAGCTTCTTTGTACAACGGTTGTTCTCAAGCTGCTCAAGGTAATTTTATATTCATATTTATAAAATAATTATGACAATCTGTAGGAGTAATAATTGTAATAGAATGTTTCATTCATCAACTAAATGTTCAAGGACCGAAGGATCAGCCAAATCAGCCACATAATTTTTTTGCATGGAACAACGGGGGGGGGGGGGGGGGGGGGGGGGGGGGGGGAGTGTTAATGAAAATTTATCACTGGAGACTACAATGGTAGAAATAACTAATCTTGTCTCATCTCTGACTGGCAAGTGCATGTACTTCCTAGATTTTGTTGTGGCTTACACTGTCCAAAATCAACTATACAGAATAGTGTGGCCTAAAATAATTACACATTCTACATTTATTGAAAATATTTTTTGCTCATTTCCTCAGAAGACACAACTGCAAAATACTGGACAAGGTTAAGCTGGAGGAGGGACCTGGTACATCTGGGCTATTTAACTGGTGGCCCACAGGCCAAATCTGGGCCACAGAGGCCTAGCAAGTGGCCTGGGGATCATTGCCAGTTGTACTGTGTTAATGATCTTTCTATGCTGGGACTCAGACCTCTGGTCCATGATGATCGTGAAAAGCCCTGTGCTACATATTGTTGAGCGTTTGAATTACCTTAGTTAAGCACGCAGTGTGATTCTCCCCACAACAGATGTACTTGATTCGCTGGCTTCTAATAGGCCTACATTGCTGTGGTAACCTGTAGTCTAACAATAACAAATGTACAAAATCAGGCTATATAAATGTTTTAATTATAGTGTGTTTCCGTTTCTTCTTCTTCTTTTTTGCGTTCACCAGCTGTAAAATCTGGTGGAAAGTTGTTCTAGTTCTTCATCCACCTCTGGACTGCAGTCCTGTTCCAGAACCTGAGTGTTGTGTGTGCATCCGTTTCATAGATCTGACTCATTTGTTTGCAGACTGCTGGTTCCTTGCCTCTCAGGCAGATGCACTCCACCTTTGAAGGAAGCTCCCAAGTAGTCGACTTTTATAACTTGCTTTTGGGTAGGCAGTGGGTCTATTCTTGTTTTCCCTATAACAGGGCCCCAGAAACCCACACGGGGAGTTTCCATTTCTGAAGTGGTTGTGCTATTTTGCTTTGAATGTCTTAAGTTTGCTTTCGGGCAGCTTCTTTCTATTTGTGTGCAGAGGAGATCATTTAGGGTTATTGTTGTTCTTCTTCTTTTGTTCGTTTGAAATGAATTATCTTTATCTGCACTGTTGTCTCTAGTATGTGGTATTCAGATGTGTGACTGTCTTGGCAACTGGCCAGCAACTTTACAGAGATATACCCTTGTAGGATAAAACATGGTACAAATAAAGTAACAAAGTTATCCACACAAAAACATACACATACATTATTTATATCTTGTGTGTCTGTAATGATGTTATAAATAGGGATAATGTCAGGGGATGATTGGCATAACTGGGAAAGTCCCTGAGAGCATGGGTTTCACGGAGATATGGTGAAACGACAGGAAAGAGTGAGTCACGTGTGAATGAGGAGATCTGGGGGATTGAGAATCAGGCGGGCATTCGGTGACTGGGCCCCAGAGAGAAAGGATGGGAAATGAAGCTGTGAAGATGAATGGAGAATGACCAGAGCATGTGGATCTGAATCAGCGAGGAATGAATGATCGAGAAGGCCAGCTGTGATGGTACCTTGTTTGATTGTTAAAGCCAGCCGTGAATATGTCAACGTCTATTGTCCGAATGCTGTAAGTGGATTCTCCTGTGATTCGTGTATTGTGCTACCGTGTAAATAAACTCGTGAAATGTGCCGCTGGTGTCAACCGTTGTTAGAAGTTGTGTGACCGTGAAGAGGATCATGTCTGCTTTGATTGAGTTGTGAACCTCTAGACATCAGAGCCAGTGTTAACTCTGCACCACAGATATCCAGTGTGGAGGAGACACAAAAAGGGCAGTCATTACATTGGGGACCCGTCCTAAGTGCGAATATATTGTAATTTATAAGTATGAGTTACAGTGCAGGCTTGTTCTAACTATGGCAGTACATTAGACGTAGTGTTTTGTGGACAGGAGTAAAATTTAGGCAAACACGGCAGCCGTAAGTTTGAGTGACTATGTGTGTTGGAAGATGGAGTTTAAAGAAATGTCGGGGTATTATGTAAGACCAGGACATGCTGTCAAGGGCATTAAGTAAAACCGGGACAACTGAATTCCAGACTCTGGTCATTCTGAAACAAACAAGCTAGCCTGAGAAAAATTGACAGAAACACGGCGAAGCAATACTGGGTAATGTATTCACTCCACATGTGAAAAAATTGTACACGTTTCATCCCGCGACGTGGGAACGCTTGTTCGTCGCTGGAAGAGACTGTGTAAGCTGAACTTTTGACCCTTGTGGTGGGTAATCCACGACGGAAAATTGTCAGCAGCGGTATCCCTGTGATCGTTGTTTGACGTGGGTTTTGTTCGTCAAACAAGAGGTCATAAACCAGAGATACTAATTTCGGACTAGATTTCACCGCAAGAACACTGCATTGCCAGAGGCCAAGACGGCACTCAGTTACAGCGAGCAAGGTCATCAACAACGGTCAAGTACAACACAGTAGCAGATAAAACGTCATCAGCGACAGCTAACTCGAGACAACCGTACAGCACACCGGCCACAAGTGAATGCCTCAGGTCAAGAATACTTGTCAATAAAAAAGAACGGGGTCCAGTCAGTACCAGAAGTAGTACTTTTACTACTAAATGTTTGTAATACGTCTGTATAGGTGAGTTCAAGTGTTTATTGTGTAGGCAAGGAAGGAGTGGGTGTTATCAACATTATTACGTCACGAATGTTTACATTTA